ATTATGCAACCGTCTGGGGTTGGGATAAAGCCCGCTGCCGCTTAGACCAAAGTATATGTCGACCCCCAAATCCCTTCACCTAACACAGGGCCCGTATGTCAATCCTGAATACACACGGTGAATCGCCTTAACCCGAAGAGCAGGGGTTATATAGCGGCAGAATACGGTAGCTGCCCAAGATAGTATCGAAAGTATTCGCGGGGGAGGCATGGTGGGCCTCGGATAGAGTGGGAGGTTAGGATCGGCATGCGGGTGAGGGTGCTTCCCTCCAGAGGAGCGGGAAACAAAGCAGAACAGATACAATACTCGAGTACGGGCTAGAATTAGGGAACAGTGAGATGCCCTCCTGCGCCCAACCGTAGCAAGGGCAGTAAGAGGTCCTAGGCGCACTGCTATTTCCGGGCCGCTCTGCCACCATTTGAAACCCACCGATTGTCTAGCGAGGCTGCATGACTTCTTCCGTGCTCAAATGTGCCAGTAGCACTAGCAAAAAAGGAGAAACCATTGAATAATACATCATTGCTTATCCCGAGGGCATAGTAGGAGACTAATTCATGACACCGATCATATATTTCGGCTGCGGTGCCGGCGCCATGATGATGTGGCAGTGAGCGATTGAACTGCTGTCTCATCCTTCAGACCCAGACCGATCCGGGTACAGTACTGCGCCAACCAGTACAAGCAGAGATCCCTCCGAATTACTCGAGTACAAACAGCCCACAGCTCCCGGTATTATTAATGAAGAAAAAGGAAGAAAAAAAGACTCGATACCGCGCTCGGGCAGGGGCTAGGATAATTGAGACCCAAGCTAAGGGGTACCCTAAGGACACTAGCTTTCAAGCCTCCGCTGAGACAAATAAAGAGGCAAATATCATACAGACTTTATGATACGAGTACTGTACTCGTACTACCATAGGAGAGGCAACCCTGATGCCCTAGAATGAGGCTCAAATATTCCAATGGTGCTTAGTTCTAACAATAGAACTCTACCACCGTGCCGGTATCCCGATAGCCAACCAGTACTGTACCCCCGTCAGCACCCTATCACCTGGTCGACATGTACTACATAGTACTCGTACCCAGGGTTCGGATGGGTCCGACGAACTGCCTGTCATTGGCTTGATGGACCAATCGACCACTCGGGGAGCAGGATTTGCTCTAGCAAATGAGGCGAGAGAATTCACCGACTTTTTTCTCCTCCGCAAAAATTAGGGTGAATGATGAACTCCACCACGGTACTATACGGTAGTACTGTTACTCAAGTAAAAGCGCAGTACATATCATATTTCAAGTCACTGACCCTTAAATTCGACGGGCCCGAGTCGTGCTACGGGATAGGCGAGGATGGTTGGCGTAGCGTACAGTACAGTACTCCGTTGCAATGTCGTGAGTGACATATCCGAATACGCGGTGTTCTTTTGATTAGCTGGGAATGAATTTGTTGAAGAGTTAGACATGCCTTCTGGGGAACACCTCGGGTGCTGGCATTTTTAGCACGCGGCTTTCGGAGTCAGCAAACCCCCCAACAACGGCCCAGACCACATCAGGATATGCGCCCCAACATTAAAATTACACAAAACCCCGTCATCCTACTTGTACTCGTACAGTACTGTACCTCCAAATAACAAAAGTGCCCCTAATCTCGCACAAGCTTCCGGGGGAAACGGCCTAAGCAGTTTCAAACAATACGGCAGCGGCGCTGAATAGACGGCAAGGAGTCATCAGCATAATTCGCCCCCCGCATCGTACTGTACGGGTACTCGAGTAGAAGGTGAGGCGGCGGTGTGGCGCTTGATACAGTAGGATGGTAACTAGATAAAAATGAAACCATGTTCTTCAAGCGCCCCATGAGAATATGCAGTAACCACTCTTGTTTCTCCGAATGGGAGGGGTCTCCTCTCCTACCAAACAAAGGTTTGGAGAAATAAATCCTGGTTGTCTATGAGCTTATTGTAGATTTTCCAAAGGCTGTGAATCCTTTTCTTGCAGAGCTCTCCCTCCCCGTTCAACTGGCATGTGGCAAGCCACCGGGTCAGAGAATTCTTAGTGCCTGATTCTTCAGAGCGAAGCTTTTAGTATTGTAAATTACGGCACGCCACCCGGGGAACGCTATTACGCAATCAGGCCATAGCGACGGCAACAAACATTTTCCCCCCTTTTTACGAGTATCTCAAGGCCCCTATCCTGCAGCTTACAATACATAGGTGAACGGTATGATAGTTGTATTATCAGAAGAGCCCCATGATCTTGCTGCTCGTTGCTCACCTCATGCCCTCTCCTCTGGTAGCTTTATCCGCTGTCCGATAGATGGTTTTTATCCATCATTTCTACCGGCACTGGGGCTCTCATCAAGCGCCCGTCTGGTTATTGTATTCTCCACCTGCTGATGGTGGGTTGGTCGAGTGGCTTCCCTGGTTCGCGCCCTTTCCGTTTGCGGCCTTGGTACAGTACTTGCTACAGGCAAGAAGTACCCGAACACTTAGGTGGAAAACAGGGATAATTCAGGGATAATTCAGAGAGAATTCAAGGATAGAGAAGGGGGGTTTAGGATGGCCAAAGGTCTGTGCATGTCAGTGCGCCCATACAAAATTCAAAAGTATGGCGACTTTCGGGTACTTCTTGCCCGTGACAAGTACTCGTACATATCATAAAGTTTCGGGCCGCCTAACCGACAGCCGCAAGCTTGGCAGAAAGATTTTCCCGCACCCGCACCCGCACCCCCAGCAGCTGCTCCGGTTGCGGCAGCCAGCCACTTGGCACAGCCAGAACCTTATTTACGCCGCTGTTTTGCCATGGTGGTTGGAAGCAGGATTCGGCGGGGCTGTAGCCAAACATGGAATGATATCCTTCTTCTTCATGAATGGATGAACTTGATCTCTGTGGAATTGCCTTTGCTGAATCAATGGCGCCCATGGGATCATTAGAGGAAAGTCTTGTATCGAATGTGTCTAGAGTTAGGTTCCAATTTAGAAACTTCCAAGGACCGCAATGACCTCCACCCCTCCCGGGAAGGATTGGATGAGAGATGGAGAGAGGGGAAAAAAACAACTTGACGCCTCCTCCTCCACCTGCTTGTGATTACTGTACCTGAGTACTTTCCCCTTCCTCCCATCCCCCCATGCAACAAGGAGATGGCGAAAACTCGAATTGGAAGACCCAGGGCCAGGAGGGTTGCACGAATCTCATCTGCGCTTACCTGGTGCACTTCACCTCCAAGGATTATTGCTGGTAATGTACTGTACAGTACTGTACTCGTACTAGTGATCGCACTGGTGCAGTTAGCCTCTATTTCTTGGCCTGGCTCCGGCGTCAGGGTGTTCATGGACCCCGAAATGGAAAGGTTACATTTACATTTGACTTGCCTGCTTGTGCTCGAATCTGAAACAGGTGCTCGAATACCGTACATGAATGCTGGAGATTCACAATACCGAGGGTCTATCCAATTACATTTCGCTACTGTACTGTACAGTACTCGTACTTGCCAAAAATGTGGGTTTCCGACAGCTGGCAAGACCCACACTGCCAATCAAATACGGTATCCGACTTTTACGAAAAGATACTCGGCTAATCCATGGACACCGCCGTCTAGGCCAAACTGCTGTACTGTTCGTGCCCCTTCTGGCTGATGGAAAATGGGAGAGACTTCCCCCGCGATCAATGGGCTTAGCTACATATCAGAGACGGGCTCATTGAGAATGTTCACGGACTAACTCTGATACCATAAAAACTTGAAATACCCTAATTGTACTCGTGTAGGGTAATTGAACAGTGTGCTGTGTCCTTGTGCTTATCTCTCTCAGTAAGGTCGGGGAATTTTTGTCCTTTTCCTTATCTCGGAAGGGGGTAAAAAGGGGCCGTGTTTTTGCTGTGCTTTTTGCCTCCTTTCCAGAGAGGGGAATTTTGGACGACATATGGTAGTTCACCGTCCTGTTATTCAAGTTTTTATGGTGTCCGAGCACACAAGTGTCCACCCCCCCCACCTGCCACCTCCACCATGGTAAGCACAGCATCACATTTCTCCTAAACACCATTCGTGAGTGCGAACGCGAGCATCAACAATCGCGAAACGGGAAACCACTTGAGACGAGTATGTTAAAGACTATTACTCCGCGTGATGATGCAGGGATGTAGTTGGACTAGGATTGTCCAGCACCAGAGTGTTGATCGGAGAACCTGCCAAAGGGTACAGTACCGGTAAATGTCACATCAGCCCGTGGAATACAATTGACCTAACATCAAATCTCTGCCTTTACTGATGGGCAAAGGGAGCAGGCACCCTCAAACCGTCACCGTACAGTGTTGGTCCCCGCGCTACACTTGGTGATTCTGAGAAGAAATGATTGTAGGCCTTCGTGGCTCGCGATTCAGGAACATGATATCTTGACCGGGATGAAATACACATATTCCCTCTCTTGAATGGCAGGGCGTGGGCACTGCGAAAACTAACTTTCTCAGCCCCAGCTTAAGACAAGAAATGCCTGACCTCACAGCAAAGGTAACTCCAAAGTCCTAATGCGGGGTTCAATTATTCGAGTTCATGCACTAGTGAAAAGTAGCATGGCTCGCCTAGCCCCCCCCCCAAAAAAAAATCCCAATTATTGGATATCTCTTAACTCCCTAATTCGTTTTAGCCCCCCAATACTCGTACAGTACTCGTACACTTGCCGCTTCTCGTTTTGGAACTGCGCACGGTTTATGGCCACCCCCAAAGGCACTGTGGTACATAATGAGTTGGAGATCCGCCTTTTTTTCCACCTCCCATTCTCTCCAGTGTCTGAATTTCTCTCGTCCTCCTTGGTTCCCTTGTATTTTTCCTAGGGCCTTTGTGTTTTCAGTCTGGCTGGCCTCACGCTGGAAATTTTACTCGTTCGAACTCTTACGGCTCCTCGTTCTTCGGTCTTTACTACTTCTCCTGCTTTAGTAGCAAATCGGTTGTTACAATAGTTTACTGATAAATCACTGCCGCTACTGCTGCTCTTCTTCAAGAGCCAAGCCTCAAAATGTCAAGCCAACCCAATGGTCACGGCCCGAGTATTAATGGTCGTCAGAATGGAGAGCCAAATGGACATCACGGTAGCCCTTCGGCCGCAACGGAGAAGGTGGCTCCTGCCACCCCTTCTAGTTTGGAGAGTCCGCATATAGTATCCCATAGGACCATGCCAGTCCGTCCGGGAGATAAACGTGCAGTAGATTTGGACAATTATTTTGTACGTCCTTTTGGTTGGGGCTGATAGAAGTTCAATGCTAATAGGGAGAGTGTAGTCTGGACCGTTGGATCCCACAAAACATTCCAAGCTTCCGTATTTCATGCGGTTGCACGGAAGCATCTTGCCGAGCCTCGTGATGCCCATCCTTTTTGTGGCAGCTTGGGCAACCACTATCACTGTCATTAGTGAAAGAGTCCACTCGCGTAAGGAGTTTCCGTCCGATTTATTAGTTGGTGCTATGAGCTAATCGCTATTATAGTTGCTGTTGATTCTCTCTTGTTGACCGTATTGGGTTTCGTGGTCGGTTTGTCGCTGTCGTTCAGGTCATCAACGGCATATGAGAGGTATGCTGAGGGGAGAAAATTCTGGGCCCAAATGACTCTACATTCGAGAAATTTGGCAAGGATCATTTGGATCCATACAAGTGAGGGTGAAGGCGAGCAGGGCAAAGATGATGTTCTTGGTAAAGTGTATGCACTTTTCACTGCCCCGTACCACCTAATTTACCTATACTGACATGATATATATAGCTCGGCTATCAACCTCATACTGGGCTTCTGTCAAGCGGTCAAGCACAAGCTTCGCCATGAAATTGAAGCTGATTATGCCGACCTCGAACCGCTCATCGACCATCTTGACACGTTCGCGAAACGTGCTCGCTCATCCGATAGATCTGCAACGGCCCATAATCTAGGTCTCTCCAACCGCTCAAAATTCCAAACCTGGGGTGAGAATCTCGGCCTCCCATTCTGCGAATCCAACCCTCAAAAGTCCATCAAAGTAGCCCGTAAGCAAGGGAAGCACCACGGGAACCTACCCTTGGAGATTATGAACTACCTCTCCTCCTACTACGAGCACTGCATCAAGAGCGGCACTCTTACGGGTCCCTGCTGGCAATCTCAGGTCTCGACCAGCCTCATGCTGATGATGGACGCCTATGGCGGTTGTGAACGCGTCCTTAGCACTCCACTCCCGCTTGCGTACAATATCGCCATTTCCCAAATCACCTGGCTCTATGTCCTCGTCCTTCCTTTCCAACTCTGCGCAAAGCTCAGGTGGGCGGCCATTCCCGGAACCATTGTTGCAGCATACATCATCCTCGGCATTGCCGCCATCGGGCGAGAAATCGAGAACCCGTTCGGCAGAGATGTTAACGATCTGGACCTCGATCGCTACTGCACAAGTCTTCAACTCGACCTCAATGTCCTCACCAGCTCCCCACCGCCAAAGGCCCAGGAATGGCTCAAGGCCCCCGCCAATACCCCGCTGTGGCCGTACAGCTTGAGCTCGTACGACAGCTGGCGAGCCCGTCAGGAAGGCGAGATCCGGAGAGCGCTCGTGCATAGGGTTGACCACCAGAGCGTTGAACTCGCAGATCATGAGGATAGCGCCAAAAGGGTGGAGGGGAGGCACGGGGGTGTATAGATGGGTGGGGTAAACTTTTCATGACTACATGCATTGGTGTGGCTGATGCGTTTACGTGGGACGGACGGATGGATGAGCGCGTGGGCGGGGGTGGTATTGCGAAGTTATCGGTCAGCTAGTCTGGTGCACATCTCCACTAATCTTGCATTGCGTGGTCCTTCATTTGTAATTTAGTATTTTTTCTTCCGCATATTTCTCTCTGAGGGATCAACTTGGTGCGAGGTGTAATGTTGAGCACTAGTTTATTAATATCTGGGGATGTTGTAATGGAAAGCAAAGTAGAGATGTTTAGCTTGTCCCGTCTTGTACTGTACTGTACTTTACTTGGTGAGATGTGATTCAAAAACAGTTGGTGCCGCTACAGTATCATACATCAGAGAACGGTACAGTACTGTACTCTACAGTATGATACTTGGCAATATAAACTACCGTACCGTAAAATTCAGTAGCCCGGATCAGGACAGCTTACGACAGGCCAAATCTCTGAAATTGATGATGATAGGTCAAATCCAAAGCTCTCAAGATCTCAGTTTCCCCAGTACCGCACCAGATATTTCGAACAGCGATACCGTAACCCGAGCCAGTTCATTAGTCTAACGACCAGATTCCACGGTACTTCAGAGCACTTTTGCGCCGAGGAATGTATCCTCTACAAATTACCAAGTATCATACCAAAATATCACCATAAAAGCTGAAATAAAAGCTGACAAATGTGCTCTCCTTCTACTTCCCTAAGTTCTCCCACAGGGGGGGAGCTGAGGCAGGGGTTTTTTTTTTCTTCTTCCTACCTTCTCTTTCCTCCTCTGTTCAGTGTTTTTCGCCCCTTTCCAATGTGCATTGGGAACTATGTATGACACATAGCACATTGCTCGTTTATTTTAGTTTTTTTTTTTTCATCGTTACACTACGGTCACGAATTGCCGGGTAAGGCAGTTTTGCCCGATAATTTAATGGGGAAGGTCGACAAGGTTGTGCCGGGTCACCGTGGCACACAACCACAGAGCCCCCGTTTCCCCTTGGATTGATTGAATTCTTGAAGGTATGATTGGAAAGCGCCGGGGGGATTTCCACCGCACGCCGTACCCTTACTTCCGGCGTATTGTGCTTAAACTGACCTTCCGCCACGCCGGGGAAATGCGCCCAGCTGGCTGCGACGTTGCCTCTAAACTGGATCCTTGGCTGAAGTGAACTACAAGTGGTCGCCAAGAGTGTGTGAGTTTAAAGCGTCCCACAAAACCCCGGCGCTTCGCCAAGTCTGCTGTTCTCAGAGGGCGCCAGGCACCCCATAATTTACCCGCCCCCAACTTGGGTTGTTACAAGTACAAAAGTGTTTTTCTGGTCGTGAGTTCCTGGTGCTTACTCACTCGGGGATCCCAATACCAAGGTTGTGCGAGCGACTCGTGAGAAGTTCTGGAAAAAGTGGGTTGTTTCGGGGGGGGTGATATGCGGAATAAGCTTGGGTGGTACAAGTACTCAGTACCCGTACTGGGCGCTAAGACCTTTCTGGCTTTTTGGAGTTCCTGGGTGGGTTAGTGAACGGGGGTTGCTTGTGGGTGCGGTGTTATAAAAACATTGGTAGAAATATTTGGTTATTAGTCAACAGAAAAAATGCTTGACGAGTCCAATTTTAGTTGTGTGTATCGTACTGCCCAATTCCGGCTATCATTGGAGCTCCCGTTTGAGTAATGCCTCCTCCGGTGCCTTTTGTGGCTCAATCAATACTCCGGGTTCTCGAAACGTTCGTGGAAGTTGAAACCCGGCGGTGGTAGGTGATGGCTTGCATGTTGGGCGGGTCCGGAGTTATATGTGATGTTTTCCTTACCGTGGAAGAGCTTCGGTGGTCCCTAGACCTCATACCCCCGGCTGGAGGTTGTGGGATGTCATGATTGTTTCCGGAAGTTGCGGGAGTCTGAAGGTTTGTTCCAGAACTTTAGTGATTTGCGGAGAAGGTTTCTCCAGACGTGCCTTTTTATTATTATTAACGGGGGTGTGCAGAGGTGTGGGGACATGTGTGGTGATGTGTAGATAGGCGTTGTAATCAATGGAAGGATCAGGATGTTTTTCTTATGCTTTGTCTATACACATGCCTTTACCGGTAGTTTAGTTGAGTATCATATGTGAGAGGGCTTGTAGGAAGAGCAGGGGTCGAGCAGCGGAGCGAGGATGTTGACCGTAAGTTTCCCTATCGTGCCTTTCCCCTACAGTTCCCGAGTTCCAGGCGAATCCTCTCACTCTACCGCTGCTCCACCTATCTCGAATAATAACACTTCCATGCCCCTTGGACTCGATTCTCTTCCTAAAAGTTTAGGCGTTTTCAATTTTAATGTTGTACGCCGGCGCCAACACCCGAGGGAGCAAAAGAAAGAAAAGAAAAGAAAAGAGAAGAGAAGAAAGAAGAAAGAAAAAAGTCGTAACTTTAGGTGCTTTACGGTATCGTCAAAAATCAAACCCGGGGAAATTCTGCCAGTTTATTGCTGTGGGGGTAGAATTTTGTCCGCTATTTGCTTGGTCAGTGCTGCTACTGGCATAACTGGGGCATCATCTGGACGTAGCAAGGGGTTAATTGGTAGAAGTGATGGTCTTTTTTTCTTTTCTTTCCTTCCTTTCGGACTGTTCTGACCCTCCCGCCTTGCCGCTTCAATCGGCTGTTCGAGTGATTCAAGGTGATGGGTTGATATCGGAATGCTTGTCTTGTCTTCACCGATATCCTAGTCGCGATAATTCTCTTGCGCCAGCAGGGATAATGCCGTTGGCCGTTAGTGAACTGTCTTCTTTTATGCCCCGTTCAAATATCTAACAATACAATGTTAATATTATATAATTTTAGGTGAAAATAAATAATAATACTTGCCTGTTGGTATTCCACGGTAGTATTACTTGGAATACCTAGCTAGATTAATTATTGAGCATCTAAGAACAAAGCAACACTGATGCAATCGGCGAGAGCCCAGGGGTTCCAATTTCCCTCACCATGTGAGTCGTCATTGAATTCATCATCGGGTGGTGTGTAAGGAAAAATAAAAAAATCCTGCGCTACGAAGCTTGGAAGATTGGATGTCTTAGCTTTCCTTAATAAGGCTATAGGGTCAAACTCGCTCTGCCATGTATGACATGAAGTGATAGAATTAGACTCTGGAGCATAAACTTAGGAGTGCCATCTGCGATCCGTAGGGGAAAGATCAAAGGGGAGAATGGGAGAAATTGGAAGAAATAAAATTTACTTCCTTCCTTCCATTGTGAAAAGGGGACAGCAACTTCTAAGTGCTGTACAGATTAACTGGTATTAGAAGGACTAGGTTGGTCTAAGGGTGGCCATTTGCCGCCTTGCCTCTTCACTCGCTTTTGCAGACCTAGAGTAGTTTCAGGAAAAGGAAGAAAGTTGAGTATGAATGGTTTCTAACAGTAGACAATGTAAAACTCAGTTGATATCTGCAGGGGAACCCAGGCTTCTGCTATCATGGAATTTCTTTGAGAATTTTATCATTCAAGAAACCGCTCAGGGTTGGTGCCGTGTGGCTTTTGGATCAGGCGGGCGGGATATGGCTAAGGTGCAATTGCTTTTTGATCATAGCTTCTTGCACCCTCTCCGGGCTTCATTATATAGTTTGTGGAAGCAGATACTGTGCACTTTAGTGGCTATTATCAGCTGGGATGCAAACGATCTGTTGGGACAGATCTGTGATTGCTGGGAATCACCAAAGATCACTCATGGTAGTGGCTGGCCTAAGTGAGACACGATTCCTCGAAGGGGCTTATGATCAAGGATACCGTCTTGTAGTGATTGGGAAAGAATTCGATTGTTGTTGGGTAGCCTTTCGGCAAGCTGTCTTGAGATGTTAATCCCCCGCGGTCTCGTAGGGCGTACTGTTTGCTGAATCGCATCATTTATGGTAGCTGGTCTCCAATGATAGGTACAATTTTTACATAGTTGTTCACAATCGCCTCGAGGATCCCGAGGATCCTTGTGCTATTGTACACTACTTTTCTTTTGTCTAAACAGCACTATGCGGTTCGTCTATCATTCGACGGGGGCGTGGGAAAGGAAGGAGGAAAAGGAAGCGTAAGTAAAGAAATAACCGCGTTGGCACTAATTTAAGGCTAGAGAAAAATTATTTATCATAGTGTGAAAACTGCAAGTTATGAACTGGACCTTCTCACAACAATAGAACTATTCACACCAACAGACTAAACACTACTGTACTTTGTGATGAGAAACCCATATATCCACACTTGACTATACAATCAAATTACTAAGTGGGTCCGGAGGTTAACACGATAGATATGTGAGATTTCCTCCGACTGTAAAGAAAAGTGCAATCACAACTTCTGTGAGTAGTTTATTCTGGAACGGAAGGGATAGTGATGAGTTCCACGAGGTGGTGTCTCATAGGCCTCAAATGGTGCCGGGGATCACCTCTTTGCTGGGCTCTAGTAACGCTACCCCCCTGGTAAAGCCGTTCCTGGTAGCGAGCCAGAGCGGTGTTCGGCCGCCATTATCTGACCTATCATGGTTGACCTCTTCCCACCAAAGTAGTATTTCCACCACTCCCTCATGTCCATCCATTGCGGCGTAGGGGAGCGGTGTTTTACCGCCATTATCTGCCTTGTCGGTACTGACCTCTTCATGCCCGAGTAGTGTTTTCACCACTCCCAGCAGCAAGTGAGAGAGGTGTTCTACCGTAATTATCTCTCTTATCTAGGCTAACATCTTCCCGCTTGAGTGGTATTTTCGCCGCTCCCTCATGTCCAAACTAAGTGGCGTACGAGGGCACTGTTGGGCCATAATTATCTGACTTATCGGGGTTGACCTCTTCTCGTCCGAGTAGTATTTTCACTGCTCTTACATGTCCAGCGCGAGCGGCAAGCGACAGGGGTGTTCGGCTGTAATTCTCTGGCCTATCGGGGTTGGCCTCTTCGTACCCGAGCAGTATTTTCACCAACCCGCCATCTTCATTATGAGTAGCCCATGCAGGTGGTGTACAGCCTGAGAAATCTCCTTCATTAATATCGTAATCATGAATTGTGTACTTCAATTTCTGCCAATGCGCAACACCCCGTGTTAGCGGGCCGCCCATTGCAGCTGCTCCCATCTTATGGGCTTGCAGTTATCATTGATTTACCCAGCACGATAAAGGACAGCCCTGACACTAACATTCAGAAATGTCTTTGTGCAAGTTTCCTCGATATGCAGCATAGCCCCAACTCACATGACTGCTGTCCACACAGATACACCATTCGTACAACTGCTATTCGCGGTGCCGGTATTCTGCATGTTTTCCTGATATCTGTTTCCCTT